TGATCCTTTGGCTCTCGTATCAGAGAGAAAGGAGAAGAAATACAAAAGCAGATCTGGAAAGAAAATTAAAGAAGTTAGTCAATCAAGTGAGTCTGAGTCAGAAGACAGTAACTGCTCAGAATCTGATTCTGAAATGTCGGAAATAAAGCAAGCAATGGCAATGCTGACCAAABCATTCCAGAAAAAGTTCTCCAAAAGGCCACACTCGAACAATCAGAGATTCTCGTCAGGCTCAAAGTATGATTACAAAGACAAATTTGGCGAGAAGAAGAAATATGAAGAAAAGAGATTCGAGAAGAAATATGAGAGAAAGCCGGAAGAAGGGAAGAAATTTAGCAAAGGTGTAGCTGATGAGAACACCAAATGCTATAACTATGGTAAGCTAGGCCACTTTGCTATTAACTGCAAGAAGCCGGTAAATCGTGATACCGACTACTACAAGAATAAGTTTCTTCTATCCAAACAAAGAGATGCCGGCAAAGCTCTTATTGCTGAGGATGAACATTGGCTGAACCTGACAGATGAAGAAGAGGAAGCTGAAGCTGTTGCACATGTGTGCTTGATGGCTAAAATAGACAATGATTTGCCTGGAGAAGATTCTCAGATGAATGATGAGGTAGTTCATCAAACATGCATTAAACAGATGAATAAGATGATACTCCAAATTCAAAATTTCCAGCAAGAGTTAAAATCTGAAAAATTGTGTTCAAATAATTTTGAAGATCAATTAAAAACGCTAAAAGAAAGATATACGAAAGTATATATTGAAAATGCTGGAAATTTGAATTGGGCTAAGTCTTTGCAATCTAAGTCCAAAATATCTGAAGAAAAATCCAATACTTTAAATTCTGAGTTATCTGAATTAAAAGAAAAATATAAATCATTAGTTTTAGTTAATGACGAACAAATTGCCAAAATAAGTAAGCTTGATTTAAAAATAATTCAGTTAAATAAACTTCTGAAGGAAAAAGAAGAAATTTTATACAAACGTGGACAAACTGATCAAACCATCTTTCTAAATAAACCATTTGAAACAAGATTTTTTAACCCTCGGGAAGGTTTGAGGTTTGAAAATCCGAAATTTTTAGGAAAAGCTTTAAAATCAGCCCCGACCTTATATGATTCTCAATATATTTTCTGTGGTCCCGATTATTCTGTAAAGTTTACAAAATCTTCTGATGAGGTTGAACAAAAAGAAGACCTTAATCGACAAAGAAAAGACAAAATGCAAGTTCCATTTAATTATTCAAAATTAAATGAAAGTTACAAAGATCAAGACTCTGTAGTTTCAACAGATTTTACAAATAGTTATTCAAAAGTAGAGCTTGAAGCAAAACCGGTTGAGCYTAAACCTTATATTCCTACTCTCATTTTAGAAAAACAATTGGCTCAGCTGGAAAAGATTTTAAACGAAGAAAGGCTTTCATTTGATAACCAAAAACAAGAATTTTTAAAYAAAATTGAATCTTTAGAAAATTCTATCAAGAAAACGGAACAAACTGAGTCTGAGTATTTCTCGTGCGACAAATCTTTATGTGAAGCTAATGACTCAGAA